ATGGAACGCAGGTCTTGCTGGCTGACCTCTGCTCTTTTCACATCACAGCAAAGGCATCTTGGAGACAGTGAGGTAACTAAGCTGGAGCCCCTGCCTTCAAGGATGGACTCAAGGACAAAAAATTTACAAAATATTTAAAAAGCTGCACCTTCCTTGGGATCATAGGATCACTTTCTGAGCACTTCCCAGAGTCTGAAAGTCATTTGACCAGATTGGAAGATAAAGACGGAGACACTTCCGCCCATTGGTAAATGGTTCTGGTGACTTGCTTCTTTTGTCAGAGCTTCTAATGTGTCTTGGAGACAGTGATCTCCCTGCTTAGCTCAGGAGCAGGAATGTCACTTCACTCAGCACCCCAGGGTGTCCTCACCTCAGAGGAGTCCGGTCCTCTCACCACGCAGACAAGGCGAGAGGAAGAGTGACAAATACGCCTCTCCTCAGTGGGGACATCTCTGCTCTTCTTTGAGGACTTGCCTTTCCCCTTACTAGCGGCAAAGCATTTTTGAATCAAAAAGTTCTCCCTTACTTGGGCATGCATGTTTATTCTTGATGAAAAGACGACCTCTTAGCATTTCTGTATTGTTATTTCTCTGTGTAATAATTGCTGTTACCATCTTTTGAGCTACTGCTCACACCACATGTGATGGTCTTACACTGTCCAAGACACGGCAGTGTGCTGCACTGTGTCATCTCCAGGACAGTATGCCCATGTCCTCAGCCTGAGTCTGTGAATGTGACCTTGTTTGGGAAAGTGTCCTTGCAGCTGTATCTAAGTTAGAGCTCTCGAGCTGAGATAGCCTTGGGCTAGCTGGATGGGGCCTAAATCCTATGACCAGTGAGTGTCCTTGAAGGAGAGGAAAAGCAAGGAGAGGGAAGGGAAGATGGAGGGCGGTTGGGTGAAGCTGCTGCAAGCTGAGGGGCCCTCCAGGTTGCTGACAGCACCCAGAAGTGGATATTCTCCCCAGAGCCTGTGGCAGGAGCTTGGGCCTGCTGGTATCGTGATTTTTGACTTCCTCCTTCCAGAACTCTGACAGAATAAATTCCTGTTGGTTTTGAGCCACCCAGTTTGTGGTGATTCATTATGACAGCCACAATAAACTAATTCAGTCTTCTTGTCTGGAGACTAAGCCACACTGTCCGCCACCTGCTTCCCTGCATTCCAGGCGGGTTTCCTTTGTGGCACGTTGCAGTCTGCAATAGTTCCCCGTATCCCCGGCTTCCTGGATGGCCCATCTCTTGCCCTGGGCTGTGAGCTGCAGGAGGGTGAGGGCTTTGCTCACGGGGATGGCCCCATGCTCTGGGGTGAGCTTGGTTCTATCAGGAGCCCGCAGGCATTTGTTCCTTAATGAATGCATGTGCTGCAGGTTTGTCAGGTGCTTTTGGAAACCTGGCCAGTCTGGACGGCGACTCTGCAGGGAAGTCTTCATGTCCCTCTTTATACAAATGAGGAACGGGGCTCAGAGAGACAAGGGGACTTGCCCAAGGTCACACGGGGAGTTTTGTAGTTTGGGGTTTTTCAAGGGGAACTATACAATACAGGACACATATTTTATAAAATTATTTTATAATAGTCACCTAAAGAATCATATACAAAGAGAGTGCAGGAGATCTGTCCACATGCTAAGCCAAAGAATCCAGCTGAAGGCCTAGATCCCAAAGTAGTGTCCTGCATGAGTCCAGCTGAAGACCTAGGGCCCATGACAATGCCCCCTACAAGTTCAACTGAAGGGCTAGAGCCCATGACAATGTCTCATGTGGGCCTGTTTTACGGATCTGTGCTGAAAGGCCCCAAGGTCAGTGGTAGAAGCTAGAAAGTCTGCCAGCGGGATGAAGCATCTGTGCTAGCAGGCTGAGGGATCTGCACTGGAGCCAGGAGGCAATGCTCAAAGTGAGAACCAGAGCTCCCCTGAAAATTGCCACAGCCATCCTCAGCAACAGTGAGGTCCTGAACTCCCCCAGTGATCAGGACAGCTGAGTTTCCATCAGGAAAGCCAACACAGCAAGCTTCTCCAGGAGACTAAGCAGTGCACCGTCTTCCCCTCCGGAGCCAGGAAGTGATACTCAAAGTGAGGATCAGCGCTCCCATGAAGTGAACTGAAGCCATTCTCAGTGACAACAAAGTCCCGAGTTCCTTCAATGAAGAAAACAGCCAACTTCATCGGGAAGGCCAGCATGACAAGCTCCTTCAACAGAACCAAGAGCTTCTTACAGCTTCTAAGAGCACCCAGCAGCTTCTAAAGCTCCCTATAACTTCTCTACAGCTTCCTCTCCAGTTCTGCCTCCTATGCTGCCAGGAACAACCCTCAGGTGGGCCTCCCACACCCAGCCCCAAGCTGGCTCAGTTCAGCTGGGGGTCACAAGTTAGTTACCAGGGAGTAAGCGTGCTTGGCTGGTCTTGAATCTAGGACTCTTTCCCTGCAAGACCGCCAGCAGGAAATGGCAGACTGAGACTGGAATTCAGGACCAGAAACCTTGCTTTGGAGTCCAGTGCTGGACCTGTCCTGACATCACCCTCCTCAGCCCATCATAGTGGAGCATTACTGGGAACCCTGCTTGGGGGTCCTGTGGGAGGAAGGATGTGAGGAGGTTCTTGGAGCCAAGGGAAAGTCTGGAGCTCAGGTTGAGGGCAGAGCCTGAGCGCCAGGCACTGGAAGTCCTCACGCCAAGATGAATATGGTCCATCCCATTTTCCAGATGAGAAAGTTTAGGCTGAGAGAGGCAGCTGGCCTGGAGTCACACTGCTGGTGAGAGCTGAATCACACTGAACCCTCAGCTCTTTCCCCTGTGACTCACTCACTGTATTCAGTGGAGGGGCTGTGGGCCTTGGGACTTGGTCCAGGCCCTCTGATTTCACACACTGCTGAACCTCCACACACGTAGTCCTCAGGTGAGCTCCTTTCTATAAGTTCCGAGGAGGCAGGATTCACATTTGATTCAATACTGCCCTTCTATAATAACAGTCTAATTGCTGTACACAGTCAGTGCTCAGTGGATGCTATTTCCTTCCCTCCCTCCTCCCCTTCTCCGGTCCCCTCTCCGCCTGCCTCCCTTCCCTCATTCACTAATTTAGCCTTCTTTGCACACAGCGCATGTACTATGTTCTAAGTTCTGAGTGGAAATCTTTGGATTTTCCAGGACGTACAGAAACTCATCCCTGAAAAAGATGTTTCGTGGACCTTGCTGGCCTTTGCTCACCCCCACCCCCAACCTCACAACCTTGGCCACTGCCATCCTCTCCAGGTTTACCCTTGGGGCCAGGCCTGTTGCTGAGCAAGAGGGGCTCACTATTCCTTGCAGTGCAGGAATGCACAAGCCGGGGGGACCGCGGGCATCTTGGCAGCTTGTCAGAAAGGACGGCTGGAACCTGGGAGATGATTTTGTGGTGTTGGGCTCTGAGGAAGCAGGGCTTTGATCAGGACTGAGTAGGGCAGGGAGGGGGAACAGGTCTTTCTGTGATCTAGGGTCTGGGTGCTCCTTATCTAGAGGGAGGCAGACACAGCAAGGCTGGAGCTGTGACTGTTACAGGAGCAGCAACCACGTTAGTGGGGACAGGAGGTCTGGTGTGTGGTGGGCGACCATGCCTGAAAACCCTGAAAGCAGTCTGTCTCCCCGTGTTGCGTCTCTGAGGACCTCGATTGCATCCAGGAGAACGCCAGCCTGGCTGTGGGTGCCAGGCCACTTCCCAGATGCCGGGGGCTCTTTCTTCCTTTTTCACCATCCAGGGGTGCCTGGGAGGTTTGTTGCTGAGTGAGAATGAGGTCTCAGATACGCATTTGATTGTAACGGGATTCCCAGGGTACTAAAACTTCATACACTTTCATGCATGTTATTCCCCTTGGTCATTCAGTGCCGAGCTGACAAGCAATAATAGGATGACCTCAACACTCACAGAAGGCCGGGAGGGGCTCAGCGTGGTTCTAAGAGCTTGGCTGTTTCAGTGTATTTCATCCTCAGCATATCCTCAGCCACTAGGGAGTGGCCACGCTTAGCATTTCCATTTAACAGGTGGGAAAACTGAGGCCAGAAGGGTGCATACTAACTTGCCTTGGGCTGCTCAGCTGACAGGTACTGGAGCTGAACTGGACCCTGGGAGGTGCGGGCAGCAAGAGTGAGGTAGATAGCTGCAGAAACAGCTGATGTCACATGGGTGACAGTGTCAGGGTCACCCTGACTGGTCCTGGACTGTACGTATGGCCATGGGAGGTGGTGTAACGAATATTGATGACTGTTTGGGTCTGAACACAGCTGTGGTTTGGGTATTCAGACTGTGGGCTCTCTGTCCGTATACCCACAAATGAGGAGCCTTCTGACTATCCTATCTATGCCAGTGCTCAGTGGGGAGCTGGGCACAGGGCAAACAAGTTCCCTGCGTACACTGAATTTAAGAAGTCCTTAGGGATCTGTGAGCAGGGGTCTCATTCTTATGTAATCGATGAGGCTCAGAGTGCTCTAGTTGGCTCAAAGTCACACAGCGTGGATGCCAGCGACACTCACCCTCATTCTACCCCGTGGTGACACACACCGTCTCCAAGCGTCTCAGCATCATGAAATTTATCCCTGTCACATCCACACCCCAAAGGAGAGGGAGCCTCTTCCCTAAGCACATCCAGGGGCTGGGGATTTAGCTCAGTGGCAAAGCACCTGCCTGGCAAGCGCAAGGTCATGAGTTCAGTTCCCGGTACCAGAGAAAAAACAAAAAAACAAACAAACAAACAAAAAAGAACCGAAAACCTAAGCACATCCAGAGGCATGGCTGGAAATGCCTCCGTTTCCAGGTGGGACAGAATTGGGACCAGAGCTCATGTTCTAATGTCACAGCCCTGAAAAAGAAAAAACTGTAAGGCAGACACACACACACACACACACACACACACACACACGTACACAGCTAAACCAGACTCCAGCAGGAGGTTTTACAACCCTCTCACGGAGCCTGTTCTCACTCAGACATTGAATTGAAGGTGAACGTCGAGGTGGCTTACTCTGAGGTTGGGACTCACCGGGGGCCGCCAGGGCCAGCTGCCTCCAGGAAGCCTCACTGATGTCGAAGAAGGAGCGATCTCCTGCCTCAGCCACCGCGTGGGGCTGATGCCATGAGGTGAGGCGGGCGAGGTCCCCCCACAGACTCTTGTCTGCCTGCCTGAGGCTGCTCTTTAAAGAGAAAGAAGGAGGAGGAGCACAGACCACAGGCCTGGCCGGGCTCAGGTTTCATTCTCCAGCAGCCCGGGCAGGAGTGCGGTCTCATTTCCTGGATTTGCCAAGTTTGGAGGCGTTTGGGGTGAGCGGGTGGGGGAGACACACTGACGTGGCCACAGTGCAGGTCAGAGGTGGAGCGATTGCTGTCCTTACAGTTTTTATTACTGCTGGATGAATTAGTCCATTTCTACTGCAAATAACACAATACCACAGCCTGGGTGAGTTTTAATAAAAACAGGTTTATTTAGCTCATGATTCTAGAGGTCTAAGGTCGAGGAGGCCTCTAGTGATGGATTCTTGCTGGCAGAGTCCTGAGGTGGCACAAGGAGTTACCTGGCAAGAGATAGGGTGTGTGTGTGTGTGTGTGTGTGTGTGTGTGTGTGTGTGTGTGTAAGTGTGCGCATGCGTGCACCTATGTCTCCTGGTCCCTCCTCTCCCCTCCCCTTCCCTCTTCCTCCCTCTCCTTCTCCTCCTCTTCCTCCTTCTCCATCTCCTCCTCCTTCTTCTTTTCTCTCTCTCTCCCCTTTCTCTCTCTCTCTCCCTCTGTCCCCCTTCCTCCCCTCTCTTGTACCAGAGATTGAATCGAGGGCTTTCACACTGAGCTGCATTCCCAGTCCTTTTTAATTTTTTTTAAAATTTTGAAACAGGCTTTTGCTAAGTTGCTAAGTTGCCCAGTCTAGGCTTGAACTCGGGGTCCCAGAGTGCTAGGGTCACAGGTATGCACCACCACACCTGTCTTCTCCATTTTCTTACAAAGTCACCAGAATTCAGTCATGGGGTCTTCGCCCTGATGACCTCATCTGACCCTTGCCACCCCGAGGGTGCTGCCTCTCAGCACCGAAGTCAGATTAAATTCCTAGCCCCTTAATACTCCTAATGGGAATTACACTTCGGCACGGAATCCTTGGGTCCCACGCAAAACCACATTGAACTACAGTGCAAAGGGACACAGCTCTGAACACCTTGCTTCGTGGCCCCAGGTGGCCCTGTGAGTTCACACATGTTCTGCTTTGGGCCCCGTGCTGCTGCCCCCATTTCACAGATGTGCAAATGCGGGTCTGGGGAACTGAGGGACTCGCCCAAAGTCCCAAGTCAGAGCCCAGTCAAATGCTGTACCTCACCTGGCCCTAAAGTCTGTATTTTTAACTACCATGAAGCTTCCGTTTTTTTCACTTCCTGGAAAATCCCATACTTTTTGCCTTGCACTCATGGCTCAAAACTTATCCATCCATTCCTTTGGTTGGTCGACACACCCTGTTTGAACGCTCACCATGTCCCAAGACCTCTGCTGAGAACTCAGGGAAACAGTTGTGTATGAGCCGCGGAACCCTCAGGTGAGACAAAGACAGGGGATAAAGGTCAGGAGTGGGTGGCCCCGGGAAGCTGAGGGAGCACACGGAGGCACCTGGCCATGTGGATGGTGGTGGACGGTGTGAGCAAACCCTTAGATGAGATGACACTGAGCCTGCCCTGCAGGGTGAGAGGAGAGTATTCATTCTCATACCTGTCCTGATGCCAGACGGCTTAAAAAGGCTCTGTGCCCAGCTCACAGTAAGCGACCAACACATATTAGATAAATAAACGATGCAAAAGAACTTTGCAACTGTTTTCCTTTCTGCTCTGGCTGCCAGGAAGCTCAGAGTCAGATTGGTGGTGATGGTGTGTAGACCCGAGACCTTAACCTTCCTCTTTCCATCTCCTTCCTTTCCTAGCCCTCTTCCCTATGCCTGGAATCTCCTACAACTCATTCTTTTCTGCTTTCCCATGTCAGAAGGTGTATTTATCTTTGACTGTTTGGCCTCTGGAAACTGCCTCAATGCCCCTAGAGATGAAGACAGGTAAACAGTAATTTCCATTTAGGACTCAGTTCACGGGCTCTCGGCTCAGCAACTGAGCACTGGGCAGTTCCTCATTTGGTTTGGTTTAACCCGTGAACCCCTTGGTCGTCATGCGCTGAGGATGACTGCCTGCTTCGCGGGCCTCTCAGTGCCAGAATCCTCGGTCTGTAGACCCTGCTGCCCCGTCCCACCAGAGCTTGCACATTTGTGAGGGTGGCAGGGCAAGCCTCTGCTAGTCCGGAGCCGGGGGCAGGAGATCTCAAGTTCAAGCCTGGGCAATTTGTCAACACCTGCTCTCTAAAGAAAACAAAAACCAATAAGCTTACGTCAGGCACCTCCTTGTGGGCATGAGCACATCCTGGTAAAGAAAGGCCCAGCCCAAAGGCCTGGCCACCTGCGCTTTTGACAACCGACCCTTCCCACCACCCCCTCTTCACGTTGCACAGTTGCTAGGGTACTTAGGCAAATACTGAGCTTTACGGGTGTATTATAAAGGGTGTGAGCCAGGACCTGCCAAATGGGAGGGGCGCTGGGGAGGGGTGGGCGTGCAGCGCTTCCTTGCCCTCTCCTGGCCTGGGACAAGTTCACTAGCTGGGGTCTCTCGGATCCGTAGTTTAGGTTTTGTGGGGGTTGCATCGTGCACACACGGTTGGATAAATCTTCAGCTCTGCATGCTCCAGGCCTTGTGTGCTCCCCAGAGGTCAGGGGTGAAAGTTCCAAGCCTCCAGCTGTTCTGTCAGTCCCCATCCTGAAGCTGCCACGGGGTGCACCACAACCACCCCTAGGCAGAGTGAAAGATGCTCTCTACCTCCTACCAGGAAGTGGAAGGCGTTAGGAATTCTGGATGAAGAGGGAGCATCTTCCCAGGGTGATGATCCTTGAGATTTCTTCACGCCTGGCCTCCATCCCTGTGGGAACAAGTTAGCTTTTCCAGCTGCATCTGCAACACGGAACAGTGCAGTGGAGCAGCTGATTGACTTTGGGGTTAGGTAAACATGGGTACCCTATAGGGTTTCAACTTCTCCACCAACTGGTCCTACTCAGCAGCCTGGGGTCAGACGATGGTGCTCTTGTCTTCTGGCTCTGGGACTGAAGGCATAAAAATTTAAGTTTTTATGTCCTCAGTTTCCACATCTACAAAACGGGGACACGAGTTAGTTCTTACTTCAGATGATTGTTTTGAGGTTAAGATGAATTAATGTGTGGGAAGTGCTGAAGACAGGGTCTGGCACTCAGGAAATTTCTGTCACTATTTTTATTCCCAAGGCTATTATAATTTTTGTTATCATTTTATTTATATGTGAGTTATGGGTGTTTCACAGCTAACAGTGGGATTATGTCCCACTGATAAAGTTATCATAAGTTGAAAATATCATACATCAAAAATGCATTCAACACACCTAAACTACTGAACACTGTTGTCCAGCTACCCTGCACACCTTGGAGTGAGGGTGCTGCCTGCACAGTCACGGGTGGGTGGAAACTGTGCCCGAGTGTCCAGAGATGATCAGATCAAATAACTTCAGCCCTGGACAAGATCAAAGTCCAAAGCTGAAAATATGGTTTCTACCAAATGACTATTAAGTATTTTTGCACTATCATAACATCAAAAACTCATTAGCTCAGCCATCCTGAGTTGAGTGCTGTCTGTATTTTATTAATGTCACCATTAAGATCACTGAGGCTTTGGGTTTGTGGCTGGCTCTGGACACTGGGGTGAGAGCAGGTTGCCCAGAGGTGCAGTCGGTGCGTGCCTTGGTCTCTTGGGACACTGGTGACTTGGGGGAAGGGGGTCCAGACCTTTACGCGATGTGCTTCATCTGGCCTCCCCCACCCACTCTCTGGATCACCTGCCCACTCCCGCCTGTCACTGTCCTAGGCTGTCACTTTTCACCTGTCGTTTCCCTGGGGAACTGAACTTCAAACGTCCTTGAAACTCAAACTCCTCCCCTGGGGGTGGTTGCCATGGAGAATGCCAGGTGGGGCCCCACTCTGTGGCTGGGGGTGGGGATGTGCTTCCCATCCTCGGACCTTCCTGGCTCCTCCTCATGCCCCCTCAAGCCTGGGCCGCAGCCCCCACGGCTCAGCCCTCGGTCTCTGCCTTTCTCCACCTCCGTTCTCTCCTCTGGAAACCTCGCCTGCTGTTGGGTCTTCAAAGGCATCCATGTGTCACCCTGCAAGTGTACACCACGCCATCTACAGCGGTGCCTTTGGTGCCTCTGCTTGGAGTCTGATAGGTTCCTGGCACTTCCAAGCCCCCGGGCCCCCCGCACCTCCTCCTCCCTCATCTTCCCACTTTGCTCAGTGGCTCAATCCCAGAATTCGGCCCCACCCCAGTTCTCTCTTCCTTTTCTCGACCCAGTTTTACCTCCAATGTATACCTGGGACGTGACCATTTCTCCCCACCAAGGTCTCCACCCTGGTCCAGCCTCTGTCACCTTGCAGGGCTGTTGCAAGAGTCTCTCTGCCATCTCCCTGCTTCCAGCCTGTCCCGTCTGAGTCTCCTTGGGCTGCCCCAGCAAATCACCAAGGTAACGGTTAACAGCACCCTATTCCCATGCAATGCTGGAGGCCAGAAGCCCAAAACCCAGGTGTCCTGGGGGTTGGTCCTGGAGGTTCAGGAAGGTCTGTTGAGTGTGATGCTCTTGAGCGCTGGTAGCTGCTGGAGTCCTTGGGGGCTCCTGGCATTCAGGTGCCCTTCTTGAGGCTGTGCTGTCATCGGCACATTGCCTCCTCCTCTGGATCACCTGCCCCCTCCTGCCTGTCACTGTCCCTCCCCATCTTCTCTCCCTTCCCAAGGACATCACTGGGGGCTGTCAGGAGCCTCTAGTCTGAGACGCTCTCATCTCTAGATCCTCAGTATCTGCAAAGATCCTTTCTAACATGGTGGCTGTACAGGTGCTGGGTGGACACGAATCACCAGTGCGCCATGCCCTGCTGCTGCCTACTCCCAATATAGCAAAGACAGCAGTCCTCTGAAAACTTCACAGGGGGCGTAGAGGCACACACCTGTAGCCCTGGCTTTCTGGGAGGCTGATGCAGGAGGATCACAGGTTTGAGCCCAGCTTGAGCAATTTAGTGATTTAGTAAGACCCTGTTTCAAAACAACTTAACCCCTTGACTCCTCTGTCTGGTGGCTCCTATCTCAATCGGAGAGAAGGCTGAAGTCTCCCCCATGGGACAGCAGGAGAGCCCACGCGGTCTACTCATTGGCCTGGGGTGCTGGGTCACACTGGGCCCCACGGGCTCCTCTGCTGCTCCCAGCTCCTGCACCCCTCACCCCATTCTGCAGGATGCTGCCTCCGTCACCCCCTTGGGTTCCTGCTCAGAGGTCAGCTCCCAGGGATGCTGCCGGCCCTGTCGCCCCTCTGTGCCATTCTGTGGGCCCCGGCGTTTGCCACCAACTCCCGGGGTTGTCCCTTACTTGTCTGCTCTCCGAATGCCACCCACAAGGGTTTGCTCCTGGGTTACAAATTAACCACTGACGGCACCACTTACCTTGAGGCACCTTGCGGATCCGGAGCTCAGGCCTTGTTCACGACGAGCTTCAGCTGCTGCTGCTGCTGCTGCTGTCACGAGTTGCAGCAGTGGTAATAGCGGGAATCACTCCCTGCAGCGTTCATGGGCTGCCCCAGGATGAGCATTCAGGAAATGTTTGTTGATTGAATACTAGTGTTCTCTGTATCTCTTCCAAGCCATGCACGGGACGTTTGTGATCCTGCTTCCGCTCAGCCTGATCCTGATGGTTTTTGGGGGAATGACGGGGTTCCTGAGCTTCCTCCTCCAGGCCTACCTCCTCCTCCTGCTCACTGGGACGCTGTTCCTCTTTGGAGGTAGGTGTCCACCTCGTGGGGACCAGGCTGCTGGAGGGGCTGGGGGTGTGTGTGGATGCTGCCTATAAGGCCTCCGAGGGGTGGGGGACCCCATCTCCTGTTGAGACTCAGTTTCCCCACCAAAGTATCCGTGAAGAGGGGCAAGCAGTTTCCAGGGAGGAAGAGGAGGGCAGCTGCCAAGGGCTCCCTGCGTTTCTGGCCAGAGCTGAACTCTGACCTCCGCCTGAAGTCAGGGCAGCTCCAGCTCAGGGCCCTGCACTGGCAGGAGGCCCTCGGCGCCACCTCGCTCCCCGCTGCCCTCAGCGCCGCTCCAGCACTGCGCACGTGGATTATCCAGCCGGCACAGCCAGGCTCCAGACAAAACCACACAGACGTGGAGTCTAAACAAACCACCCTTCCCGCGACGGGACTAAAACCGCAGTTCCCAGCGGCACAGCGGGGACCAGGAGATGCTGGTCAAAGAAATGAAACTGTAGTAGTTGGAGGAATAAATTTGGGGACCCTGTTGTACAGTAACTGGAGTGAACACTTGAAAACTGCGAAGAGGGTGGACTTCAAGCCCTCTCTCCCTAGCAGACAGAGAGACAAACAAACAACAAGAACAAGGCCAAGTGTGTGAGGGACACGTCAGATCGCTCGGTGGAGCAGCCCATCAGGGGCGCACGCATCGGGGCATCGCGGCTGCACTGAATGTGTGCAGTGTTTACTCATCAGAAGCACAACACCGGCAGAGAAACAAAACAAACAAACAGAACAAAAGCCATGCGTGACCAATGCTGGCTGGGTTAATTGTTTGGCAAACCAGTGGTTTTAGAAAAATGGCTGCTGTAGGCTTCCCGTGTTCCCAGTGTGTCTGAAATGATTCCTCATTATTACCGTTTTATTTTAAAGAGAAAAAAAATTTCAAAAGAAGATAATAGGAGGGTAACAATGGTTAATACATTGTGTATTGTTCTCTTTAAATTACTTACTCAGAGTATAAGATATCGACATTTAAGTGTCCAAACAGCATTAACACAAACCTTTCTTTTCAATGAGCTAAGAGAAATTAGTAGTGCAACTATCTTAACTATCTTTTATATCTATATTATTTTTTCTTTTCCCTTCCTTCTCTTCTCCATTCCCCCATTTCTGTTTCTCTTTCCTTTGAAGTTTCTTCCCATTTTACAATATCTATTGTACATTTTGGATCTTATTTACTCTTTTAGCTTCTCACACTAGGAAGATAATATGATGTTTACACATGTGCATCTGGTTTATTTCACTTATGAGTATGGTCTCGAGTTGCATCCATTTACCTACAAAAGTCTCCAGTTTATCTTTCTTTATGGCTGAGTAGTACTCCACTGTATAAAAAGATCACATCTTTTTTATCCATTGCCTGATTGATGGGAATCTGGGTTGTTTCCTATTACAAACTGTGCTGCTATAAACATGTGTGCACATATATCTCTGTGGTACGATGTTTTTAATTCTTCTGGGAAGATACCCAGAAGGGGAATAGCTCCTTCAAATGGGACCTCCAATCCTAGTTTTTTGAGGTGATTCCTCATTATTAAAATAAACAAAGAAAAAGCTGTGCATGGTGGTGCACCATGATGGGCTGTTCCACCATAATCCCAGCTGCAGGAGGATTGAAAATTTGAGACCAGCCTCGGTAGTGAAATAAAAAATCAGATGAAGATATAACTCAGTGCAAGATCATGGGTTCAAGTTGCAGTTCTAGAAAGGAAAGAAGGGAGAGAGACAGACAGACAGACAGACAGACAAAAAACCCCAAGTCAGATGGCCATGTTGGCACATACCTATAACCCAGCACCCTCGGAGGCTGAGGCAGGAAGATTGCAAGATCAAGCCCAGGATGGGCAATTTAGGAAGTTGGCGAGACCCTGTCTCAAAATAAAAATTTAAAGAAGGGCTGGGGATGCAGCCCAAAGCCAAAGCTCTGGGTTCAGGCCCCAGAACTACAAGGAAAACAAACAATACTGTCACCTGTGTCTGGAGTCCAGGAGTCAGGAGGTGAGAACGCTGCCAGGCCCTCACCTCCAGTTCCCCACAGCGATGGTTACTGTCCCCATTAACAGTCCCCACGGTAGCCAGGGACAGCTTTCTGTGCTGGTGAAATTCTCCCCCCGTGCCATGCCACAGGGAGCCTGAACAGGCTCGCCTGGGAGCTGAGCTGCCGCGTTACATCAGAAGCCCCGAGTGGCTATCGGCCCGGGCAGGGCAGCCCCAGTCATCGGTCCTCTCGGTGCGGTGAGGCCCGCAGACCCTGGGCAGGGCACCGGGAGGAGCAAGGAGCAGAGAGCTCCCGTCCTGGGCGCAGCCCGGGGGAGAATGCGCGCTTACCTATCTGTGTCCCCGGACGGTGTGGCGGCCAGCACTTCTTCCCAGGCTCTTGCTGTCCCGTTCAAAGAACTGGACGGGGCACGTGATGGACAGAAAGTTTACATCCATTGAGGACAAAAGGAGAAGAAAAGGAAGCACAAAAGCAGAGCTCAAGAAGAAAAAGTGCCCTGAAGGGAAAAGAGAAGATGCGCTGGGCGCACAGGGCTGCAGGCCAAGGGCAGGGGACAGAGGCGTGAGGGCGGCGGCTGCCATCTTTATAGCTCCTTTCTGAAGTCAGAGGCGGCCACCCCACCAAAGCCCTGCTTGGCCTGGTGTGGAAGGACGGAGGACGGCATTCTCTCCCGGGCGGAGGCGCAGGGCTAGGAGGCTGCTCTGTGCTTGTGTCCGGGAGCTCTGAGCCGGTCAGGTCGCGAACGGCCATGGTGGCCCGGGCAGCTGTGTGGCGCTGGGCAGGCCCGGGGTTCGAGCTGTCGGGGGGGATGCGCAGGACAGGGAGAGGGAGGGTGCAGCGGGCGGGCGGGCTGGGCACAGGCGCTGCCGTGGAGGGAGGAGAACCTGGGGCCAGGGCCGGTGGGTGAGGAGGAAGAGCGTGGGGAGGGACGGAGAAAGGGGAGCGAGTGCCGGGAGGTTTATACATGTTTTTATAAACAGAAGAGATGCTTGTTTTGGAGGCTCGTTCCATGCGCATGTCATGTGAGGTGTGATCAAAATATAAATGAATGTGTACATTAACACGTGATTACCTGGACAAACACATTGCTATTACTCTCCTCAAAACATCCCCCTGGCTTGGAGCACACTTGTCCCATTGTCCTTGGCGCTTTCTGAAGCAGTTCTGGAAGTCCTCTTTCCTGAGTGTTTTTAGGAGATGTGACCACAGATACAGCCAGTGCTGCCCCGGCGCGCCCTGCAGAACGCCAGGCTCCTAGGACAGGGCGGTGCGGCCTCGTGCGCCTTCTTCCCCGGATCTGGCTCTGTCCGCCTTCTGGCTCTTCTAAGTCCAAATGACCATGACTCAGGGCAGGAGGCGGCACAGCCGTGCCTCCGTGGGGGCTTCCGGAACTGCTTCCGACAGCGGCGAGGACCACGCGGTAGGCATGTCCAGAGCCGGGGAGCATTCTGAGCAAGATTAATGGCAATTTGCACTTTCCTGCAGCGAAAGTACTAAGCACTCCTTGTACTTGGCCGTTTTCAGTTCCTTTACCCCACCCCCCACGCCCTCTCCTCTCCCAGAGGCGGCCTTCCGCTTCCGGTCATCTTCCTTTTGTTGGTTTGTCTCTTTCCTCATGTGATCTGCTCTCCCCACAGCCATGGTGACCCTGGCTGGCATCAGCGTCTACATCGCCTACTCGGCCGCCGCCTTCCGCGAGGCGCTGTGTCTGCTGGAGGAGAGGGCGCTCCTGGACCAGGTGGACATCCGCTTCGGCTGGTCCCTGGCCCTGGGCTGGATCAGCTTCGTTTCGGAGCTGCTCACCGGGGCGGCCTTCCTGGCGGCCGCGCGCGTGCTCGGCCTGCGCCGCGGGCAGGACCAGGCCATCTGAGCCCGGCTGCCGGCTGCCGTGGGAGGGGCCGGCCCGGGACTCTTCTCCGTGGGCTGCGGTCTCCTCTTCCCCAAAGCTGCCTGCGGAGGCCGAGGGACAGCTGCGATCGCAGTGACTGAGCCGGCGGCCGTGGTCTCAAGCCCTGAGCGTGCCCAGCGCGCTGCGTGCCGGGTGCCGGGTGCCGGGTGCCGGGTGCCGGCGGTGTGCCGGCGGTGTGCCGGCGGTGTGCCGGCTGGAAGAGGCCAAGGGAGCTCCGCACCCACACCGCCTGGCATGAAGCACAGCAGCCCCGACCGTGTCCGGAGTTCGCTGCCTTGCGACGGCAGGTCCAGGCCGCCTCTGCGCATCACCTCCTCCCCGCCCTTCGGAGCCGCAGCCCTTCCCCGCCAGGACATGCGGGGCGTGGTCCGCGAGGTGAGGTGACTTGTGCAATGCTGCGCAGCCGCTTGATGCGCCTGGCTCGCAGGCCCGGCTCGCTCCTCTCCGAGCTTCTCTGAGGAGCCCGGGGCTGCCTCGCAGTACCCGAGTGCAGGTGGATGGAGTCGCGGACCCTGGGGCACTGCAGGCTCCCTCCTGCGCTCGCCCCGGGGAAAGGACTCTGGCCTGGTGCTGGGATTCCGAAGACAAGAGAGCCTCTGAATATTCAGGGGGGCAGTGTGGGTCCCCAGGTCCCTCCAGGTAGTCGAGCAACCTCCTGATGCGAGGTGAGCGGGCCCCTGCCCCGCTCCCACCGGCGTGCCCTCCCTGTCATTAGGAATGGCTCTTTCCGTGGGTGGTGCCACAGGAGGGGGGGCAGTCGGCGGCCACAGTGCGGGCCCCTCAACCCCCCATCCACCTCCCGGGCCACCAGCCCCGAATGCAGTCTCTGTCCATGTGTGCAGTGGTGGCTCCCAGCCCCGTGATCCCCAGTGTGGGCAGCGCTGGGCTCCCAGGTGGGAGTGACTGCGTCCAGCTCCCAAGAGTCTGGGTGTGTGGGACCCTTGAGGTTAGGGGCTCCCTGGGAGGTTCCCCTGGGCCAGCAAGCCTGCGACCACTGATGAGGGTAGGTGGGACTATGATGACAGTTACCGATGTCAGGACACCATCGTCATCATCACCATGACATCATCATCTGTACCAAGGCGATATCATCCTCACCATGACGTCATCACAATCACTATGACATCATCACCATGACACCCTACATCACTGCAACCTGATCATCTCCACTACATTATCCTGTGACATCAACACCCGACCATCACCTTTCGTGACATCATCACTGTGACATCATCAGCCACTGTCTTCACCGTGATGTCACCATTACAGTTGACACCTCCTCAGCACTTTGCACCTGTACCGTGAGCCAGTTAGATGGTCACTCACAAATACCTGGTTGGCCTGGACACAACCAGGATCAGTGACAGTGGGACCCAAGCCTTGGCCTCTGGGCTCTCACGGGCGGGGTGGGAAGGAGGCATGTGGAATAGACAGCTGGTCTACTGCAGCCCAGTGAAGATGGAAGGACTCGGCCAGGAGGAAGACTAGAGGGAGAATCTGAACGGCGACAGACGAAACTGAGGTGCAGGCACTGGCCTGAAGGCACAAGGAGAGACGGCTGCAACTTGGAGCAGAATTTAGAATCGGTTAATTCCAAGGCCATTCTGTCTCCTCTCCCATCGCCACCTGCACCACTCGGCCGCCATCGTCTGTCCCTGGGGTCGGCACATCGCAGCAGCTTTTTTTTTAATCTGGAAACTGCACACGGAGCAGTTGTCACAGTGCTGAACGGGACTGGAGACACCTGTA